TAACTAAATTTGGTTAAATTTCATACAGTTGGTAAGTCATATTTAAACTTATCATTTTTCTTATAAACCAATTAAACCATTAAACTTTATTTAAAAACTTTAAATATTAGAACGTAAGTTATTTTTATTTAAATCATTTTCTGCAAATTATAAAATTACCAAATTTTTTGTTTAATAATAATTTATCAATATATTTATATAGAATGTTAGTTATATTTTATTTATTATTTAATATATTTATATTATTTTAAACTTGACTAAATACTTTATTGAAATATATTTAATATAACAGATGGTAAGTTTTGATTCTCTCTTAATTTTTTATTTATTCATAATTTTAATTCAAATTTTTTATTTAGGAAGTAAGTTTTTCCTCAAATAATAACCTATATATTTTTTAAAATAAACTAATTTTATTTAAAAATTTTTATTATTATAGAAAGTAAGTACTTATTTATTTACTTTACTATTTATTTCAATTAAATCATACATTACTAAATTAATAATATTATTATAAGATTGTAAGTTCATTTATTTGTTTTATTATATTATATTATCAATATAAATTAATAATTTTGAATTAAACATTTTGTTTTCAATGATTTATCAATATTATAGATCGTAAGTTTTTGCTATTTTAAATATCAACTTTCATTTTAATTTAACATAATTCTAACATAAAAAAATTATTATTATAGTTGGTAAATTAACTTTAATATATTTAATTATTATTTGTAAATAAATAATTATTTTACTAATTATCATTTTACAAAATATTAATATTTAATATTATAGAAGGTAAAATAGTTATTTTATTAAATTTGAATTATATATTAAATTTTTTAAATAATTGATTTTATATCTTTATAAGATAAGAAATTCATAAATTAACTTACAATCTATATTATAAGTTAAAATTAACTTAATTTTATTTTTAATATTATTTTAATATAGATCGTAAGTTTTTTTATTAATTTTTCAACATTTTTATTAAGAAATTATATTTAACTAATTATACTAATTTTTTAATTAATAATCATAATTAAATATAAAGATGGTTTGTTATTAGTGTCAATTATTATTTATAATTTTTTATATTAATATTAAATTAATTAAATTTTATTTAAAAAATAATTTTTAAAATCTAGAAAGTAAGTTTTTTTAATTTTTTTGCAATATATAATAATTTAACTTTACTAATTTCTTAATAATGTAGGTCGTAAGCTATTTTAATTTGATTTTATTATATATTATATATATTTACATTTTACATTTTAATTATTAATAATATTATAATATAATTTAATTTAGCATTTCTAATTTATCAAATGTTAGTAGAAGATAAAAATGTGATTTCACAATATAATTTAGCTAAATGTTATCAAAATGGATGGGGAATTGAAATAAATATAGAAAAAGCAATTTATTGGTATCAAAAATCAGTAAAAAATAATAATCAAATATTTCTTTATTTAAATAAATCAGCTGAAAGGGATGATAAAATTTCACAATATATTATAGCTTTATTTTATCAAAATGGTTGGGGAATTAAAATAAATCTAGATAAATCATATTATTGGTTTCAAAAATCAGCAAAAAATAATTGTAAAGAAGCATTTGATAATATTCAAAAATTAGCAGAAAGTGGCAATGATATTGCACAATATAATTTAGCAAAATGTTATCAAAATGGATGGGTAATTAGAAAAGATTTAGAAAAAGCATTTTATTGGTATCAGAAATCAGCTAATCAGAATAATAGTAATGCACAATGTAAGTTAGGTATTTTTTATAGATATGGTATTGAAACAAATATAAATTTAAAAATTGCATTTAATTGGTATCAAAAATCAGCTAAATTAAATAATAGTACTGCACAATATAATTTAGCTTTATGTTATCGACATGGATTAGGTAATGAAATAGATTTAGAAAAGTCATTTTATTTTTTTCAAAAATCAGCAGAAAATAATAACAAAGAGGCATTTAATTATTTTTTAAAATTAGCAAATAGTGATGATGAAATTGCACAATATAATTTAGCTAAATGTTACCAAAATGGATGGGGAGTTGAAATAGATTTAAAAAAAGCATTTTATTGGTATCAAATATTAGCTAATCAAAATAATAGTGATGCACAATATAATTTAGCTTTGTGTTATCAAAATGGATGGGGAATTAAAATAAATTTAGAAAATTCATTAATTTGGTTTCAAAAATCAGCAGAAAATAATTGCAAAGAGGCATTTGATCATTTTTACAAATTAGTAATAATTGATAATAAAATTGCACAATATCATTTAGCTAAACGTTATCAAATTATATGGGGAATTCAAATGGATTACATAAAGCCATATTGTTTGAATCCTATTTCAGCTAATCAAATTAATGGAAATGCACAATATAATTTAGCCAAATGTTATCAAAATGGATGGGGAATTCAAATGGATTCAATAAAAGCATTTTATTGGTATCAAATATCAGCTAATCGAAATAATGGAAATGCACAATATAATTTAGCTTTATGTTATCAAAATGGATTGGGAATTAAAATAAATTTAGAAAAAGCGTTTTATTGGCTTTATAAATCAGCTGAAAATAATAATAAAAAAGCATTTGATCATTTTCTAAAGTTAGGAGAAAATGATAATAAAATTGCACAATATTATTTAGCAGAATGTTATCAAAATGAATTTGGAACAAAAAAAGATTTAGAAAAAGCATTTTATTGGTATCAAAAATCAGCTGAAAAGAATAATGATAAAGCACAATATAAATTAGGTATTTTTTATAAAGATGGTATAGAAACAAAAAAAAGTTTGAAAACAGCATCTTATTGGTTTCAAAAATCAGCAGAAAATAATAATAAACAAGCATTTGAATATTTTCAAACATTAGCAGAAAGTAATAATAGATTTGCACAATATGATTTAGCTTTATGTTATCAAAATGGATGGGGAATTGAAATAAATTTAGAAAAATCATTTTATTGGTTTAAAAAATCAGCTGAAAATAATAATACAGAAGCATTTAATTACATTCAAAAATTAGCAAAAAGTGGAAATAAAATTTCACAATATAATTTAGCTTTATGTTATCAAAATGGATGGGGAATTGAAATAAATTTAGAAAAATCATTTTATTGGCTTCGAAAATCAGCAGCAAATTATAATAAAGAAGCATTTAATCATTTTAAAAAATTAGCAGAAAATAATAATAATATTGCACAATATATTTTAGCTGAATTTTATCAATACGGATTGGGAACTGAAATGAATTTAATGAAAGCATTTTATTGGTATCAAGAATCAGCTAATCAAGATAATAGTAATGCACAATATAAATTAGCTAAATATTATCAAAATGAATGGGGAATTGAAATGAATCTAGAAAAATCATTTTATTGGCTTCAAAAATCAGCTAAAAATAATAATAAAGAAGCATTTAGTCATTTTCTAAAATTAGCAAGTGATAATGAAGTTGCACAATATTATTTAGCTTTATGTTATCAAAATGGATGGGGAATTGAAATGAATTTAGAAAAATCATTTTATTGGTTTCAAAAATCAGCTGAAAATAATAATAAAGAAGCATTTAATCATTTTTACAATTTAGCAAAAATTGGTAATGTAATTGCACAATATCATTTAGCTGAATGTTATCAAAATGGATGGGGAATTAAAATAGATTTAATAACATCATTTTATTGGTATCAAAAATCAGCTAATCAAAATAATAGTAATGCACAATATAAATTAGCTAAATGTTATCAAAATGGATGGGGAATTCAAATGGATTTAAAACAAGCCTTTTATTGGTATTTGAAATTAGCTGATCAAAACAATAGTAATGCACAATACAATTTAGCTTTATGTTATCAAAACGGATTGGGAATTGAAATGGATTTAGAAAAAGCATTTTATTGGCTTCAACAATCAGCTGAAAATAATAATACAGAAGCATTTAATTACATTCAAAAATTAGCAGAAAGTGGTAATGATATTGCACAATATAATTTAGCAAAATGTTATCAAAATGGATGGGGAATTAGAAAAGATTTAGAAAAAGCGTTTTATTGGTTTCAAAAATCAGCAGATAAAAGTAATAATATCGCACAATATAACTTAGGTATTTTTTATAAAGATGGTATAAAAACGAATAAAAATCTAGAAAAAGCATCTTATTGGCTTCATAAGTCAGCAGAAAATAATAATAAAAAAGCATTTGATTGTCTTCATAAATTAGCAGAAAGTGGTAATGAATTTGCACAATATAATTTGGCTAAATACTATCAAAATAGATCGGTAATTGAGATTGATTTAAAAAATGCATTTTATTGGTATAAAAGATCAGCTGATCAAAATAATAGTAAAGCACAATATAATTTAGGCAATTGTTATTATTATGGAAAAGGTATTGGAAAAGATACCAATAAAGCATGTGAATATTACGAAAAATCAGCTAAACAAGAATATAGTAATGCGCAAAATGATTTAGGATACTTTTATGAAAAAGGTATTGGAATCAAAAAAAATTTAAAGTATGCATTTTACTGGTATCAAGTGTCAGCAGAAAATGGAAATGAAGTTGCACAATGCAATTTAGCTATTTGCTATCGATATGGTTTGGGAATTGAAAAAAATATAGTTGAAGCATTTAAATGGTATGAAAAATCAGCAGAAAATGAAAATGAATTTGCACAGTATAATTTAGGATTTTTTTATTATGAAGGTGTAGGAATTAAAAAAGACTTAAAAAAAGCTTTTTATTGGTATCAAAAATCAGCAGAAAAAGAAAATGATGTTTCACAATACAGAATAGGATATTGTTATGAAAATGGCATAGGGATTAAAGAGGATTTAACAAAAGCTTTTGATTGGTATCAAAAATCAGCATTAAATGGAAATGAATTAGCGCAATATAAAGTAGTCAAATGTTATGAATATGGTATAGGAATAAAAGAAAATTTAAAAGAAGCATTTGAATGGCACCAAAAATCAATGAGAAATGGAAATAAACCTGAAAAATGTGTTGGAAAATACGAAGTAAATAATAAATGTAATAATGACACAATTGAATTTATTAATAATTCCTTAGGGGAAAACAAGGCTAAATTTATATCCTTTAATGAACTAATTGATCCTGAGCCACTTGATGTTGGGGGATTTGGAAGTATAATAAAAGCGACGTGGTTAAAAACAAATGATTATATTGTTTATAAAAAATTAACAAAAACAGAAATAAATGCATTTATTCACGAATTAAAAATGAATTTATGTCTTAATTATAGCAATCGAATTATACGTTTATTGGGTATTAGTCAAGGTAATTAAATTTTTTTGCTTTTTTAAGAAAAATATAATATATTTTAATAATTAATTTTGTAACAGATATGGTTACAAAAGAATATTTACTTGTTATGGAATATGCTAACGGTGGTAATCTTCAAAATTATCTGAGACAAAATTTTGACAATTTAACTTGGAGTGATAAGATAAGGTTATCATTTCAAATCGCAGACGGTTTGAATTATTTACATAACGAGGATGTATTGCACAGGGATCTTGTAAATATTTACTTTATTTTATTTATTTTTTATTTATTTGATATAAATTATATTATAGATTTACTAAAAATTTATTTAATTTAGCATTCTAAAAATATAGTTATTCATGATAATAATGCCAAAATTACTGATTTTGGTATTTCAAAAATTGCAAACAATTCTACGATGCATATTGGAATTCGTGGTAGAATTGAGTATATGGAACCACAAATTCTTAATAATCAAAAATTTAAATACATTAAACCTTCAGATATTTACAGCTTTGGTGTATTAATGTGGGAAATTTCTAGTGGGTATCCTCCATTTAGTGAGTATAATAACGATATATCATTAATTAATGATATTGTTAATAAAATTCGCGAGAAGGCTGCACCAGGAACTCCCGATGATTACGTAAACCTTTATGAAAAATGCTGGATTCATGAACCTGAGCAAAGACCAAATATTAAAGAAGTATTAAAAGTATTAAAGGATTTATCGAAGACGATGGGTTTTGAAAATTGTATAAATGAAGGTATATATTATAAAATATTTAATAAATTCATTAACTTTTTTTTACATAATTTTATGTTGATTAATTTTAATTAATAGGAATTGTACCTAAAGCTGTAAACAATTATTCGCAAAAAAATACTTTAGAATCATTGATGGTTAAATAGGTATATCACTTGAATTTTTAAATTTTTTAGTAACACTTATCTCATAATTAAAAAATATTTCCTAACTGAGCACTGTATAGAGTAGCTAATTTAGCAAAAAGCAGTCTGTAATCATTTGAAAAAGAATTTTTAAATAAATTATGAGTTTCATATTGTACGTTCTTCTCTTTTATTTTTATATAATGACCTTTTGATCGCTATTAACTTTAGGTTAGGAAATTTTATTGTTTCGAAAGTTGAACTTGGTTATACATTTAAGTCAAAACAAAAATTCATGGGAAACAAAATTGGGTTGATTTGATTCAATTATCATATGTACATTCTTTCTTGATTGACGCAACTGCCGAAGCGAAAATGGAAAATTAAAAATTTCGAAAAATGAATCGAGACAAATAATATTAACTATTATTCAGTGGCTCGATACAAGATGAACCAAAAAAATGAAATAAAAGCCTATTTATTATTTAACAATTTGAAATTAATGGTTATTATAATTTCTCATTAAAGTCTGAATTTTTTTAAATAAATTTTGCCAAGTGCTTATAATGTAGATAAGATATTATAATTATTGGCAGCTTTTTACTATTTCCAAATATACTATACATTTAATAATGACTATTTATCATTTATTTTTTTAATATGCTTATACAGTTAAGCTTTCTATTTATAATTTTAAACACTTGAATGGAAATAAGTTATGTAAGCAAAAAAAAAAGATGTTTCCGAAACATAAAATATACCATATGTTATATTCGGAATTGCTTTTTTAAGAATTGACCTTAACCTGTTAATATCCGGTTATAACTGTTAGTTTACTTATCAGACATGGGCAAGCATTATGAATTTGGCCAGAGCTAGCCTAACTTTCGTTTTCCTAAAAATCTTAATTCAGGCCAAAAATCTTGTTATAGACGTGCAATAGTTAAGATACTATTTTAAGTTACTTTTTTTTCTGCCGAACAATTCTCGTAAATAAATAACTTTCTAATTTTAGCTAAATGACTTTCTTATTTTTGCAGATCATTTGAGAAAACTTTTATTTAATCGCAATATTTTTTTTTTTCTAACAAAATCATTTAACAAATTACAAACAATTTACCATGAACATAATAAACTCACTAGGAACAAGGGATTTTATAGGAATAATTGTATCGATTATTCTTGTATACATCGCAAAATTTTATTACAAGTATTTTACACGACCAAATCCTTTGCCGAGACCAATTCCGCTTCCTATTTTTGGAGATTTATTAGCAATTTTTTATTATGCCAAAGGTGATGTGACACTATGGTTCAAATTACTACAGGAAAATCATGGGGATATTTTTGAAACATATATTGGAAGTTTCCGAAGAATTGTACTCGCTCGAGCTGATTATGTTGAAAAATTAATGTCAGCGTCCACAAAAACCAATTACGTATTGAGATCAGAAAAATTGCCAGAATTTGATGAATTAAACACTACAGGAAAAGGAATTTTATTTAATACAGACATTCCTACTTGGAGACTTAATCAACAATACTTTACACAAGTTGTTCTTACTCCTAGTTTCTCAAAAGAGGCCTTACATCAAACTCCAATACTTTTCAAAGAATTAAATGGATATTGGAAAGAAATTGGAGATGAAGAACCAATTGACTTTTCGAAATGGATTCATAAATTCACCACTGAAACTATCTTTCAATTGGTTGTTGGATTAAAAATTAGTACATTGGCAAAATATTTTAATGATAGCGTAGAATTATCCAAGAGAAAGTGTATTGAACCATATTGAACCAAATCCTATAGATGAAGAAATTACAAATTTTGATCAAATCATTGATGCTCGTTTTAGATATACACTGTTTCTTTTTACAGTTCCAGCTTTTTTAAGACATACAATTCTTAAAAAAAAAGAACGATGCAATGCATGAGAATAGAAACAATACCCAAAAAATTATGATGAAGATTATTGATCATCGTCGAAAAGAAATTGAAGATCACAAGGAATTAGGAAGTGACATGTTGACATTATTAATCACAGCACATACTGAACAGACTGAACAGATTGATGAAGAACATTCTAAACCTTTAACCAATGATCAAATTTTTCATATTTTGATTGAGGCTATTGGTGGAGGAATTGATACAACATCAAATTTATTATGTTTTATCGTATATATCATATAGCTCACTATCCTAATGTGTTGGCTCGCTTGCGAGAAGAACTTGATACCATTTTTGGTTCTGAAAAAAATCGGCAAATTACGATGGAAGATCTTTCAAAAATGCGTTATACCGAAGCTATAATCAAAGAATGCTCTCGTCTTATAAATGCCTCAAAAATGACACAACGTAACTCTTCCTCACCAGATACTATGATCGACCGTGAATGGCCAGCAAATACCGCCTTTATTGTTTATATGGAAGGAATTCATCATAATCCAATTCATTGGAAGAATCCTCTTAAATTTAATCCTGATCGATTCATGGAAGCTGATCCGCAAAAGAATACTTTTTTGATGTTTGGAGGTGGAGTGCGAATTTGCCCAGGAAGAAAGTTAGCACTTGTAGCAATAAAAGTTCTTATTTCCTTGATTTATAGAAATTTGGATATTTCATTAGTAGATATGGATGCCCCATTGAAATTAAAGAATACAATTGTAAACGCCTGTTCTGAATTAAATATTAGAGTTAAACAAAGAGAATAGTGCGTTTAATTTTAAAAACTGCATAATTATCGTGTGCGGGTTCGTGTTCGTTATGAAATTATTTGTTAATTTTATAGTTTTATAGTTTTATAAATTCATGTTAAATTTTTTTATTTGAACAGATTCATTTATTAATTTTTTGATTTAATATATTTATCTTTAACGAATAAAAATTTTGTTTTTCCTTTATTTATCTTGATTTGAAATTACTTTACTTCCCGGTTGTTAACGCTCAAAAGCAAATCAAAAGTTTGTTTCAATAAATTTCATTGATTTGAATAATCAAATACATGAGACATAGTTGTATATTATAATTTCCTGATTTCTTAATGTTTGTAAACTAAGCAATGTGATCACCTATCAAAAAAAGCTCGGGTCATGTGATTATATAATAATAAACCATGTACTATTTAATCTGGGAACTTGATAAGTATAGAACGAACAGTTGTGATGATTTATAAAAACAATTTAGAGCTTCATTTATAATATTTATTTATTAGAAAAAAAGGCTAAAATGTTTAATCAAAAATTCTGTTTCACAGTATGTGTCTGTCACGTGACATCTTTGTTGGAAGGTTTTTTTATTTTTTTTATTTTTAACTTTTTTCCAATGTTAAAATTATTCACTATTAACAAATATAGATTGTTCACTCAAATTAAATTTAGTTGATTCACTTTTTAAATTATTTAAAGGATTTGTTACACTAAACTGAATTTCAGAATTCTGAATTTTTTACTAGTAGAAAAGAGATATATCATAACAGTTCACGCTTATTTATGTCGACAGTATTTCTTTCCCAACACTGGAAGTATTGTAACAATTGGGTAATTGGTATTATATTTCTTCGTAGTTTCTTATTACTTAAGATATCTGTACCTATTTATTTATTAGAACTCTCGCTGGAGCGGCTGAGTTAAACCATCCGAACGTAATTATTTAAATAAGTAAGTTTGGCTAGTTCATAATTTCTCGTTTTCGACGCTAAATCATTTCCTTAAAAAAAGAAATTTTAAAATATTAATCATATAAATAATTAAAAAGACTTAATGGCAAAATATTTGAAATTCCTACGAAATGAACACGAGAATTTGAAAATTTTATTTTGTCCGGATAACGTAATGTTTGTTTTTACAGTTTTTTGGTTAAATTATTTTGAATTGATGTTGTCTTCCCTTATGTATGAAACTATAAAAGGAAATCGGTAACACAAATGGTTTCTATTAAATAAACTAAATGGTCAATTTTAAAGTTACCAATCATCACATTTGATAAGAAGATGTGGTACTTTGAAAAAGCCATGCATGAAGATAGAATTAGTTCAAATTTTCAATTGGCGTAATTTAATCTTGAATTTTTTTTTTTTGTAAGCTATTAACAATAATTCCATATAAATCGGAAACTAAACTTAAAATAGGTATTTACGTTAAGTGACAAGCAAATCTTTTCTATAATGAAAGAATACCTGATTAGGTTTTAATATTATATAAAAAATTAAATCAACAAGAAAAACTTGACTTCATAGTTTCTAGAGCGCAAAAAACTATTCCAATAATAAAATTAAGTACAGCTGATACTTTTGTTGTTTTCCTTGTTTACAATACGTTACCAATTAAAATTTATAAATTTCGCAAAACCTAAATTTCTGTTTTTCAAATGTGATGCATATGGTTAAGTCACACCTTTTAACAATCACGAAAGCTTAAATTATAATCACACCTCGCCAGAGTCACAAGTGAAAAACCACGTGAACTTTTTTTTTTAAATAAATGATGAAAGTTTTTGCAGCATGCTTGCACAATTTTTTTTCTATGTTAACGTTAGCAAGTTAGCCATGGCAATATTCATTAACCCGGAGACCCTGGGGGGTTGTACGCCTCCCTAATTGTCCCATCAATTGGGAGGGTTTGCTATTAAAATTCTTGTTCAGATCATATGATTTACTATGTCTCGATAACCGATTTATAGCAAAACGATTACAATTTATTATACATCATAGGGTTACCCTCTTTATCGACAGTTTTGTTTTAAAATTATGGGCCATATCATATTAAAATATCGATCGTTCATGCAAAAACAAATTTTATATATGATAAAGTACAATTTTTTTTTTAAAAAAAAGGGAAACAAACGCGAGAAAAAAAATTCACGGACGGCTCTTTCTCTTAAATTTGTGGCATGTTAACAGATGTAAAGCGCAATGTAATACATGTTTAAAATAGTATATAATCAGGGACCCGCCGCCATTTCAATCGAATCTAACTAAAAATTGAATCCCTAATTGGTACGGATTACTTTTATTGATAACCATTTGTTATTGGGGTGGTGAATTTTTATTTCTATTGCGATCTAATTTCAAAATACAATATGTTGTTTCCCTGAATGCAAGCTGCTGATATAGGTGCTGTTTATTGTTACAACAAAATTCAGTTTACTATTAAAAAATTTCCGTTTGTTTTCCGCTTGTTTAAAAAAAGGGGGTTGATTATAGTTTTATGCCTTGTCGGTCACGAGTTGCATCGCAACATTGATGACGGATTTGTTCATCAAACGCCTTTTCTTCTTTTGTTCTTGCCGGTTGTTTTAAATTCTTTTTATTTGTGTATAGTTCGGGAGGATCTATGTATATTTTGGTTATTTGATTTTTATTGTTATTGATGATAAGCAACGATACAATGGGTCTTGGCCATTAATTGGAAAGAAAAAAAGGATGCATATGAGCAATAGTAAATAAACAAACAAGAATTCCTACATGTGCTGTATTTTTTTTACTATTTCAGGTGAAGGTTGCAACCTTTTGGCGCTTTGATATTGGTGAACCTTCTTTCTTTTCCCTTTTCTGATTGACAAGTTTATTAACATGAAACTGATTGAAATTGTTGTGATATCGGTATTCACCGTGTGAAACATCAATCACCGATGAATTTATTATTTATAATAATTTTATCAACAAATTTTGGAAAGAACTGGGTTATAAATAAAAGCGAAATCAATAAAGATATTTTCATGTTTTAATGTAACTCAACACGTAATAACTGCGAATGATTTCAAAAACGTGCGCTTGAAACGCGCTTATTTACAAAGCAGATATGTATTCTATCTTGTACGCACAAAATAAAAAAAAAATTAATTTCAATTGGAAAAATGTCACTCTTTTATTTTATTATAATTTTTTTTTTTATTTATGTAATAAATGTAGATTATCATGATGATTGGTATCAAAAAATAATAAGCTTAAAATTTTTTAACAAATAATGATGTAGAAATTCGTATACGTTTTGGAATGTATAAAATAATTTTGTGATATATTAGTTTGCATTACATTAATCTGTACACAGATCTTCCGATTTTTTTTTTTTAAATGTAAATTAAGATATGCGGGGTTTGTCTGATGTTTACAAACTTTACCCGCCGATTACCAAAAAGGATTATCCTTTTTGGGTGAACTGTACGATGGGATAGGATAGAGATATCATTTCAAAACCCGGAAATTACTTACGAACCTCAGTGTTCCTACTTTCAACCTGCCAACGGCGAGATACCTTTGAAAGTTGATCATAAGGAATGTCTTGCAAACCGTATCGGACAATCTTAAATTCAAGGATCTGCCATTAGAATTTTATTATATAAACTCTCTGTATTCTCTAAAATAATTTATGTATCCCTGCTACCTAAAAATCTCCAAAAATATACACAAGATTATTTTACCTACTTTTATTAAGAATAAGTTAAAAGAATGTCTTCTAGAGGGTATTCCAAATCTGAATTAAGAAATTTATTAAATAATCTTGACGATAGTAAGATTTCCGCTATTCCATACGACAATCCACATACAGTTGCTGATCGTGCTAGAAAAGCAAGAATTCAATTATTAAACGGAATGGGATTACTTAAATGGAATATTGAAAGCGAGGCGAAAATTTTATTCCTAGATAATAATCCAAAACTAATTAATTCGGCAACAAAATTTGTCTGGGATTCAAAACTTACGCACCCTCAAAGACAAGAATTTGAAAATTTGGCAAAAAATGCCAATATGATAAACCGAAATATAAGGCAAAGCATTGAAGACACACACAATAGAGTCTCTCAAATGGATTCTCCTCAAGTTGGTAACAATCCCTTGGAAAATGACTTCTATAATGGAACGAAGTTTGGAAATAATGGTTTTGAGTTCTTGTTACCAATCGGAAGTTTGGGAAATTCAGGATGGTTAGATGACGGGGGAACGGGTCTTTAGATGATTTATTAACACGTGTCAAATTTTTTTATTTAACGTTTAAGTATTTTTAAAATATTTTAAAGTCGTAGATTATGAATAATTTTCATTCTTTAAAATTTTGCTTTCATTTTCTACATTGGTTATCTCCAAGATTTTGTTGTAAGAAAATTAACTTTAGAAAAATGTATTTTGTAAAACAAAAAAAATAAAATTTTTCGATTTCAATCACAATCAAAAATTCGGAATTTTTTTCCTTGTATTTTTTAACATTTACTTAAAATGAATTTTTCAATAAGATTCTATTCTCCATAATAAAATGTCGAATTATTGTCTAAAAGATTTATCAATCATGGAGACATCACATATTAATTCTCACAAATATTTGCAGAACGCCACTCCAAACGCTAATTTTTTTTTGTTTTCATATCATAAAGGGTAAGACAAAAATAACTTGTGTTCATTGATAAGGACAAACGTAAAGGTCAAATGAGGAACTTTAACTGCTAATTCCTGACACAAAACTATTCTCACAACAAAGATTCGAAAATTTTATACAAAATAATTTCTTTGTTGTTGTAACACGTTAAAAAAATAATAATAAGATTTTTTTTACGATTGTTCACTCGTATCAGTCAGTTTCTTTCAAAAGAGATTTACTAAAATGGTTAGGAATGTCTTGATTAAAAAGGAAATATGAATTATTTTTTTTTTGATCAACAAAAAAAAAAGGCAATTTTTTTTTTTGTTTATTCATTTAATTTTTATTCACACGAAAATTTTTCATAATTTATGTGTGGACGCCAACAGATGAAATGATTGTGATCATTCATGATGAAACTTTTTTTAAAGAACAATGTAAAAGTTCAAATTGTTATAATAAATAATAAACTTCTATGATTTTACAATGAGATTTTATTCAATGTTACAAAAAAAAAAATCTCCATTTGGAAAGTTCCAAAGTTTCTTTCTTTTCATTATAATATTGATCTTATTAAAATACAAGAATTTTACATTTTTATTTATAAAATTAATTTGGGAGACTTCAGTGAAACAAACAGAAAATTTGCCGCTGTTTTTATAGATGTCCAATATTCTTCCGCACGTATTCTGATTTTTTTTTTTGCTATTATTGGGGAGCTGAAGAAGAGCAAAACAAAAAATTACAAATTGAATATAATATCATAAAGTCGTTTATTTCATCGCATTGAAAAATATAAATATAATTTAAAGTAAAAAAAAAAGACATAAGGTAGAATTGACTGTATTCAATGTATATACAATATCCGTTTATAAACCATAAATGAACATTTTATTTTTTGCATAATTATTTAAGTTATATATTTTAAGTTTTACGCCGAAATTTCAGTTACTACAACCGAATTTGTTCTGACCGTAATGACATAAATTACATTTTTTTTAAAAACAGAAAAAAATTCTCTGATAAATTTATACGTCACGAAAACAATTGCAGTTACCTTGTTATAAATTTTAAATTAAAGTTTTTTTTTTCATAAGAACATACTTGGGTGATTTAATTTTAAACCAATTTGTTAAACTTTAATTCATGCACCCATATAACCTCTTGCTTCAACCTAAACCAAATAATATTAATTACAATGAGGGTTACTAGGCTTTCTACTTGGAAGAGGGATATCTACATGTACTAATAAACACCGTATACCAAATGCAATAATAACCTACATATAATAATACACTCTGTCCGCGCTATAAACAAATTTTTGACACCACAAGAAAATCAATAGTCAAGACATAATGCATAATTGTAAAGAATGAAAAATGTACTATCAAATCATTCAACCGACATGCAATATAATTAACTTTATCCAATGCAGAAAAACACATCTTTGCGATAGTTAAGATTATAGGTAATTTCTTAAAGTATATAGTTATGAGTAGGGATCGGAATCGGAAAGTCGGAAATTCAGAAATAACGATTTTAATCTCAAATCAGTTCGATTTAATCGGCAAAAATCGATTACACAAAATCGATGGATAAAGTAAATTTATCTTTTCTATTTCATAATGTAGGCAAAACAACACGCGCTAAAATGTGAAATCTTGATGATGACAAATCGAAACATTGATAAAAAGTAATTCGTTTATTGAGAAATGCATGAAAAAGTTGACTATCAGGAACCTAAAGAGGAAGGATTCATTTTCAATGTATCGAATCCTGAAGTGAACAAGTGAAATCTACTGATTGTTAAACCCAATTTAGAATAAGCAAGTCATGTTATAGTTCACATCTAGTGAATTTAACACCCAAAGTTTATAAATAAATTTCCACCACCACGTGACCGGTGACATTTTTTATAGGTCAAAAATTTCAGAATACATAGTAAAAATGTAATCAGGGAGGCGTTGAAACGGGATGACAATTGTGCATATCACGTGGGGGTAAAATCTCGGGGCGATACTAGGTAAGATTATCTTGATGAAACAGAAATATTTAATTATTTTTAGCATCTTTAGCTTTTATTTTCTAATAAATGAAGATTAATATTAGAAAGTTGGTTAACAATTTTATAACTATAAAAGATTGAAAAAATTTATATCAATTGCCGATTTTTGATTTTTGATTTTTGAAACGATTCCAATCCCTAGGAGAATGGAATCTTAAAAGTTGTTTGTATTACATTGCTTAACGTTTTGATTCTTTTTAGACGCCATATTTTAATCATTTCATAAAATAAAATAAACATCATTAAAAAATGAAACGGTTTCTAAATATGGCAGATGGCCTTTTTTATCTGTAGCGAATTAATAAATCTAAAATAATTATCGTAAACTAATAAACTATCCTTTTGTTTATTGGAAGGAAGTATAAATGAAAAAGAGCCATATAAAGAAATGAATTAGACACTTTTAATTTTATAAAATTCTTGTTTAAAAATTTCAAGTTGCTAAGCTGCGAATTTTCTACGTAATAGATAAATATTTATCGTAATAATCGAATTCCTTCTTATCATTAGCTAACGGTTTTCTATCAATTTTATTGCCAATTAAGAATCTTCATAAAAAGCCTTAAACAAGTCGTGCTTTTATCTATTTTATGCTATCGTTACCTCCTACTTTCGTAAGACAGGTAATAATTTATTTTATTAGATTGATTGCAACGATGAACGATATAACGGAAATTGGGAGATCACTAATAAATAAATTTTATAAAGAAAGAAAAAGAAATAAGTTTATTAATAAAGAATAAAAAATGTATATATACAATAAAACAACTATTACTGCCTCAGCCGACTCCAAACTTTGCCACTATACCCTCAAAAATTTCCAATCTTTGGTTTAGAAAAAGAAAACAATAAGTAAAAAGCAAAAAAAAAAAAAAAATTTCAAATTTTTTTAAAAAAATGTAGTAATTACAACAGAAAACAAACAACAAATAATAAACTCGGATTTTATGAATTACATGCATGAATTTCATATAATTACAAACAAACTGTTCATCATTTTTGATCCTCAACTCAGTGAAAGTCGGTTACAAATCGTAAGAAATTGTATGTGATCAAAATCGTGTCTTGATGCTTTCTCACGAAGGAATTGTAGTGAAGATATGGGCGCTTTCCAGATTTAACATTAACTCAAAAAAATTTTTTTTTTTAGAGCGCCCAGTTCATCTTTCTTGTGAAATCATTATTGGTCGTTTGATTTGGTGAGATAAATTTATTCAATGATATTGAAAATTTTTCTTCAAAGAAATCCTTGCTTGAAATTAGACATTTGGTGCCTTTTCGTATTTGAAAAGTATAGAAAAAGCCCTTTTTTGAACTGCAAAATAGCGAGGTTGATATTTTAAACAGAAAATGTAAAAATGCATTATTACAAGGTATTCCGAAGTTTAAATTCAAAGCGATATAAGAAGCTTTCTGTTAATTACTCTCAAATGAACTATTATAAATCGCTCATTGCGAATTCGTCAAACGAAAACAGAATAAAAGAGTATTTTTTTGACGTCTGCCGATCTTAAATGTCTTACACTTATCCACCAAGTTTCTACTCTCACGTGATTCGTGGCCGTAATTTTCTTAAATTGACATATTCTAAGGCAAAATATAATAACATTTCACAATTGTAGTTTGTTAGTATCAAGACCAAGACGATTTAAAGACATGAAAGGTTGAGAGTGAAAAATAAATATTAATTAATTACAAAGGTCATACTACTCGATTGTTTATACTACGCTATATATATTTATATACATATATATTTCCCCATTATTTCGTTCGTAAATTTAATAAAATTAATTTTTTATTTTCTACTTGGTAAGGGTAAACTCTAAGCGTTTTTCTTTTATATATTTAAGGCATGCAAGATTAAAGTAATAAAATCATACATCTTAAAATCCGTTACATTTTGCAAATTACATCGTACCACTCGAAACCGTCGAACCATCGAAAATCCATCGAAATCCATCGGAACCCGTCGAAACATTCAAAATTATTTTCGAAAAATTCAAAACGTCATTAGTATATTTTCCGCAACATTTTGTTGTGGTGGATAAAGCATTAAAGGTTAGCGGAATGATTTGTTGAATTGCTTTATTATTTGTGTCGCATGTGAAACAAAAAAATAAGAATGGATTATTTCATCGAGATTAAATTCCGGCAGTTTCCGCAAACAATATCCAAGATACTTATTATATCCGCAATTCGTCATAAAGATTTTAAAAAAAAGTAGTCACCTCAATCTATGATAAAGAATAATTAACATATCTAACGTTAAGGTGTTAAAAAAAAGTATGTAAATATTTATCGTTTTCGCGTACTTGTCATACTTGTCATATCAAAAAAAAAAAAAAAAAGAACAATTTACAATGAATTCTACATGTGAAAGTTATGGAATAAGCCGTGATCTACAACAGAAAGTAAAAACAGACACCAAGTTTTGGAAATAATTATTATCGATATTTCAAGAAATTTTCAGTCATTTATGTTACAACTATTTTCATCATGTTGTGTCATGCAAAACAAGATTTGTGATCAGTCAGCTGAGTTTCTTATGCATTTAAAATTACGTGATTATGCGGACACGGACATTTGAATTTCTTTTTGGTCTAACGATAAATATATTTTTTCTATTATATTCTTATTTCTAAATTATTTCAATGGTGGTAAAAAATCAAAACTTTAAAAAAAAATTTACACGTGATATACTTGCACCACTATCCCCTGCATTTATGATTTATTCAATTTATTCATTGTATTGCCAAAATTTATTCGAAATGGTTTTTCTTTTTTTAAAAAAAAATAAAAATAACCATTTATATTGAATCATTCATAATTTGCATTTTATAATTATATAAAAGGATAATTCACAAAGTAGTATAAATATTTTTTTTTTTTTATAGACCACACCCTTTCGGTTAATTAATGAGTACTTTTCAAGAAGTGCATTAATTAAATGCATGAGTGGCTGCTGACAATAGCAAATAAATAGAAAATTTAATATTTACCATTTTAAAATTAAATATGACTAAACCCGTCATTCTTTCTTATTTTGTAACACAAAGTTAATAATTTTCATTGTGAGAATCGATATGATTACTCCTTCTTTTAATGCAATTAATCAAACTCTTCATTCAACGAACAATAGACAGAATTCTAAAGAGTAAATTCCCGAAACAATGTTTATTAGATATTTACATAATAATTGAGCACATACCCATAAAAGCAACATGATTTATGTTTAAAATAATTTTAAATGATCAAATTCATCTTTAGCACGTTCACTTTATTTAATGCTTGAATGGACAAGCAGGGTCACCGTATTAGAATTGCACAAGTCGCTGAGCAGGGTCATAGTAAATTTGACAGACCCGAGTCAAACTTTCATAAAGACGCAGCGCGGTTCTATTAATATATTTCCCTTATTTTACTATTTGCTTCGGTCTTTCCCTTACCCCTTGCCTTTATTTCACGGAAATGGTATAATTTCACCATATTCCTTATTTATTCGTAACCTTAAGACCTAATCTTCATATCTAATGATGATTAAAATAGGTTCAAATATTGCTTTTTTAAAATTATTTTATTGATCAAACTTTTTTCAAATCAGATGTATTGCGTTGCGATCAACTGATTAAGAGTTCGAGAAGATATATAAACGCTAGCAGTTTTCAACAATTAAAACACAAGCGTAAACATAAACAAAATAATTACTTTTAAAAATGCAATCCCAACAAGTTAGAAATAAAATCCTTTCTATTCGGTCGACATTAAATTATAATAGAATTTACACTCCTACTCGTGATGAATTACAGCTAATCGCTGCCCAGACAAAAGATAAATTAACGGGATTAAGTTTCTTGAATCTAAGCATAAGATTCGAAACAAACCGATTGCATTTGTATGATACGAGTATCATTGACTCTTTATCAGACCAATTATGGGATTCTTCAACTTCATACCAACAAGAGCAATGGACAGCGTATGCGAATGACGTGAATGAAATAAACCTGTCGATACTACGTGCTAACGAAGACTTACTTAAAAGAATTTCTGGTCTAACTGAGCCACAAATTGTTAATTCAGATTTCGAACAAAATTTTTTTTTTGGAGTCAGTTTCCCATAAATTATTTGAATGCTCCTGTAATTTAACCATTATGCTCTCTTGGATTATACCATACCACTTTTCATTTGTCTTTTCCATTTATCCCGCAGTCTTCTCTATGTTATAAATGATGCTAGATGATTAAAGTTAAAACACATCATATTTAACTATTAAAGCATTTATTAATATATAGCAGATTGAATTTCTCTTTTTCTTTTTCAAATTGTCACATTTTTATACACTAACATTCCAAAGAACTTTGTGTAGAAATTATTTATTACAAATAGAATTCTTTTTATTATTTTTAGAACTTTTTTTTTTATCATTTTCATATTTTTTTATTTTCGTGCTAATATTTATTTTTTATTTTTTTTTTACCATCCTTGTATTATAAATTCTTTAGAATAATGATAATGTATTAATTCTTTTAATCAATAAATAAATAGAGTATCGTTAGAATCATATTTGATTGCCTTTTATTTGTTTTTTATTCTAGTACCTCTTCGGATAAAAATACCTTCTTCGTAGCTGATTAACTTTGGTGAATTCTGATTAATTTATTCACAATCAGATTCAATGTATTATAACATTTCACGCGGCACAAATGTGTAATTCTTTTAAACTTGATCGGTCTGATTTGGAAATTAGTGAATGTAACTTTTTAATCGATTGCTTCAGCCTTTGTCAAATTAATGGCTATTGAAATTATCCGGCCACTTTTCAAACTGAAAAAAAATTGAATATAAATAATATATTAATAAACATATTTTAAATAAATAAATTAATATTGACTTTATTATTGAATATTGCAAAAAAAAAATTAATTTTGCGGTAATTGCAATACTGTTGATCAAATTTTTATAATAATCTGATGATATATCCTTTCATGCATCTTTAACATACTTTTCTTTAATATTAGATGGTAGTGAAATATGACGATTTGTTAGATCCGTGGATGGTCTATCCGGATATCTGGCAGATACAAGATATCCAGATTTTACAGGTATTACAGATATCATAACAAAATGTGAAAATATTAAAGGCTTATCTATTTGTTCATTAAAAATGTGCTTTGTCATTTAGCACGAAACGATCTGCATAATTTTGGCCAAAATAAATTGGCCGGATAATTTTGATCGCCCTCTGTATTTATCATAAAAAAGATCTTAAATTACAATTTTTTATTTTTTTTTTTTTGCGGTTTTATTGACTTTATAACTATACTATAATCTTAACTTATAAAAATACGCGAATCAAATGGGTTTTTACCCTTAAAGTATTTAATAATTGGAAATGAACGATTGAACGAGTAACGGTAGCGAAAAAATTTAAGAACCATTAATTCAACAATAGAAAGGCTTTGCAATTAAAAGCTGTTATGCTTATCTCTATTCTATCTCGTTTTAAACGTTAAAATAATAATATGCAATTGAAACTTTCACCTTCCAGAGTAATATATGCATTGGAGTGGCGATATGTGAAAAGTTTCACACATCTAAACCATTCTTGTCCACTCACATGCGAAATCCGCGGTCATAATGCTTGACCACAAACTTGTTTACTTGGCTGCAGGCCGTAAAATTACATTAAAAGTTAATGAATGGTCTTTCAAGTTAAAATATTTACTAGTATTTAAGAATGACAATCATATAATGATTACATATTCATGAATGTGCTAAAACTTAATAATTCAAAAAATTTCAAATATATTCTATGCTTAGTCGTTGGGAATTTAATGATTTAAGAATTTATTATTATTAATACAGAAATCATATCCACGATAGTAAATGTGTCATATATATATATTCATCGAAAATAACATTTCGAATTTTTCGAATTTTAATCGAATGGATTCTGGGCGAGTTTAGATATTAATTCCAGCAAAAAAAACTAAAATTTTAAATTTTAAATTGTTAATAATAATTTATGGTTACGAATTTTTATGAAAGGATCTTGCGACTGGTTGAGTTGACCTCAGAATTTACCATTGACGTCTAATTAACCATCATATCTGAAATAAGTAGTAATTTTGCTGTAAATAATTATGACAAATAATAATTACGTAATTACATAATTAATTGTTTTAGGTATGATAATCAAATTGACCCATTGTACGTGTGCTTGTGAATTGTTACATTGCAAAATAGTTACACCACGAACCAGTAGTTCGTTTTCTATCATTTTATATGTTAATATCAAATATTGAATTTGTACGACCCAAACTTGATTTAGATTTCGTACCGTCTCTTGAGAAAAAAAAAAAATAATAAAATAACAAGAAATACTTTCTGCAACTACTGTAGAATGGAATATAAAATAGTAGAATATATGCACAGTTTACATAAACACACATGCAAGGCATTCGAAAATTGATTAAAATCAAAAATTTATTCCAGTATGAAAAGACGTATCAATAAATTTATGAAAAACGTTTCAAAATTTCGTAAATAACTCAGCTATCAAAGAAACGTCGTCCATTCAAATCTCAAAAAAAAAAAAAAAAAAAAAAAAAAAACTAAATTACTTTTGGGGTAATTAGTTATAGTTGTACTCAACCGAATTTATTAAATTAGTCTTTTTTCAAATGTTAATCGGAATTTACGCCGGTTCTTATTTCAAAATTTTTTTCGAAGTGCCATAAAAGGATCCACTCGTCTTTTTAGTAATGGCAATAAACTCTTAATGAATTTTTTAACTTGTTGTGTTGTATTCGCACTTTTCCTTTAAAAGTAAGTGCCTAAACGATGATGTTATTACTAAATTTCTTTTGCATGCTTTAACCATAAAAAGAGGCATTTTTATTGCAAGGATTAGTAGTAAATCCTGATTACCAAAAATTTCATTTTTTGGTACAAATTACTTGAATTTCAATTCCTTTTTCCCGAAACGTTCATTATAGGAACAAATAATTTACTTTTTTTTTTAAAAAAAAAAAAATTTATTGTAATTTACCAAACGATTTCTTCATTTCAAATACAATACAATTTATTACAAGATAGTATGATTATCATTATCTTTGGGTGAAAAACATTAACTTTGTAGTACCGGCCCGCGTTAAGTTGATTGTAGTGATTAAACGATTTGCAATTTAAATTTTAAATCAAATCTTCAAAAAAGAAGTCCCGATAAAAAAAGGGGGAGAAAAAAAATAAATTCTATAAATAATTTATTTAACGCCCAGATTAATAATAATCTAAAAAGTTATATTTACAGTACTATGAAAAAAGCCTTTTCCGGAGGGAAGGAAGCTGGTTCGTCAATTTATGCATCATAAATGAGCAGCTTTAAAGAGAAAAGAAAAGGATAAATTTACAATATTCATATTGTAATAACGAAAGGACGAACTTTAAAAAAAATCATGAACATTGCATATAAATAAACTTTCTACAAATAGAAACCTAAATCGTTGCTTAAAAAGGGGTCTATTCGCACACAGTGATAAATAGAAACAAACAAACAACCAAGAGTTACACAAATACCGATGATTTGATTGAATTGATAACGATTCATGTCTGTTATGTTATTAATATTAAATACAAGTACTCTCCCTCACATGTTAATATTTCAATCATACGCACAAACGAGTTTTATTATATAAATCCTATGGATTCCAAAAAAAAATTTTTTTGCTTCAAAATAATCCCTGTTTTAAAACCTCCAAAAGTAATTTTCTTTTTAAATTAGAATATTTAAAAAGTAAAATGTCTTCTAGAGTATTTTCCAAATTTGAATTAGAGAATTTATTGAATAATCTAGATTATGACGAGGTTTCCAAACTTCCGTACGATAACCCAGATACTATTGCATATCACGCAAGAAGATACGCAAGGATTCAGACCTTAGACGGAATGGGATTACTTAAATGGAACATAGAAAACGAGACGCAAAAATTATTTTTGGAAAAGAATCCGAATCTAATCAATTCAGCAGCAATGCGTATATGGGAAACAAGACTCAAACCTTTTCAAAGACAGGAATTCGAAAAGATGGCAAAAGATGCCAACGAGATAAACCAAATTAAGAGACAAATTATTGAAGACACGCAAAATAGGATCGCCAGAATTGATATTACACAAGTGGGGAATCTTGATTTTGAGCATTCCTTCTTTAATGGGACTAGTTTCGGAAATAATAATAAATATGAATTTTTGTTTCCAGCAGGGAGTTCAGGAAACTCAGAAATTTATGGATGGTAAAAGAACATCAACAAAAGCACTAACCTTTCGTTTTGTATTAAGATTTATCATTTTTTTATTTCGAAATTTATTGAACTAGTTATTTTCAATTGTAAGATAACATATGATATGATAAGTTGTAAAAATTATATGTACAGTACTACTTGTATAAATATTTAAGATATTAAGATATTAACAAAAAAAAAATGTAGTTTTTTTTTATTATTTACTTTCATTTGTAAAAACAAAAACATTAATAAATGTCCGTGCAATTTTTAAGTTTTTTTTCCTAAATCAACTTTAAAAAGATCAAATAGATAGATCTTCGATTTTTGGGCTGGAAAGTGTCACTGATTGTTCTCTTATCGATTAATAAAGGCAATTTTAAATGATTTACGGAACTTGAAAACCTGTTTATTCACTAATTTAATTCAAAATAAGAAAGTTCTAGTCATGAGATTACAAACAAATTAATTGTGGAGAAAAATGTTCAGGTTTCACAAAACATATGATAAAATGTAAAAAAAAAAAAGGTTCAAAGTTTTTTGATGATATTTTTTTTTTTTATCCTAATTAATCTTTAATTTTTTTTTGAAATAATCATATGTTATAATTAAAAAACTTTTAGCAATTTGGCGCAAAACTGATTATGATAGAGCAAATATTAACTCTTAAAAATGTTTGATCAAATTCAAAGATTTCCCCTTTCTTTGATGTACCATTTGAATTTTAAATAAAGATTTGATGACTCAATATAAAAAAAAAGGTATCACCTTATCGCTGTTACACGTATCAAAGAATATAATGGTAGGTTTTGTTTAATTGTTCACCTCACTACAACAGATGGAACCAATTTCCTAACTAATAAATCTAGAGGTTACAAATTGTAAACAAAAGAAAACCTCTCACTTGACCTTAAGGGTTACCGAATCTCACTCATCTAAATGGTGCCGATTTTATGAAAATCAAATGCATATATAAAATAAAAAAACTTTCGTCAATAATTTATGTTGTAGCCATTGATAATTGCTATATCCGATATAAACTAATGTTAATTCAATTCATTTTCTAAAAAAAAAAGCCACATCAAATAAAATTATTTATATTTATGAATCATACGTTATTTTATATGAATGTAATTTTTTTTTTTATTATATATATAATTGAAAATTTATAAAAATTTCGCATAATTAAAGTTAGAGTTATTTATATTGACCAATTGATTCATGCTATTCCACATGCAAATTAATTAAAAGGAAACTTTCAAGGAAATTTCGCGAATTTCACTTTTTTTAACCCTCAATAAAAACGTGAAAACAGTATTCCGGTTGACTTTTGTGTGTAAATAAGATGGGTTCGGAGTGATTATAGAAAAAACCATTATGGTCCGGTTCGCCTGATCGCCCCTAATCGGAATATGGTTCGTGTTGTTGTTACTTTGATATTGCGCAGTAAATTTCGCTATAAGTTCTCGATATTTTAGTTTTTATAATTTACAGTACTTTAGAAATCGAATTTTTAATTATAATAATGAACTTTAAAAATAAAGGAAGGGATAAAACGAAAGATTCAGATTAGAGTTTAGGTGCAACAATGGAATGGATTATTCTTTTTTGCATAACTTCAAAAACGTTACAATCGAGGCACGATTCGAAAGTAATTCGAAGAAACAATAAATATTCAAACAATATTATGCAAAACATCATCTCCAAGAATGTATCACTAGTTGCGAAAATAATTTTTTTCAATATTTTGCATATGGTATAAGCAATTCAAATTTTATACAAATTTTTATGTCAAAAGAATTTATTTATTGGTAGAATTGGAAGGACAGAGTGGCGCTATACGAATTTTTACAGTACTACTTTAAAATTCAGATAAAGTCCAGTTATTTATAATTGGATCGATGACTAACTGCGGTTTCGAAATGATTCAATAAGAATTATAAGAATTCCGATTCAGAAGAAAAATCATTGTGACATGGTTTTTTTATATTAACTTTCCCGTGATTTATCTATTAATGATCGGAGAAATAAAATTTTGGTATATTAAATTACCAAATATTCAATTTTTAAGCTTTTAAATAATCTAGAATTTGAAGTATGTAAATATCTTGTAAAGAATATGATACTTCAGAATTTTTAACATAATACAGATAAATGATGAATTAATGTTTCATTTCCACCTCTTTAGATGGGAGTTTCATATTCATATGCTCGAGAAATTGTTCTTATGCGAATCTGTAAATTATATCTGATTAAATTGTTTTTCTATTCAAACGATTAAATATGCTTGAGAAGAAAAAGAAGAAAAAATGAGTTACTTAATTATAACGCCACTTGTTAAAAAATTCCGAAACTGACGAAGCTGGAGAGACCTTATTAATTGTCGATACCGTTAAAAATATAATTCTTTTTATTATACAAAAATATTTTTCTAATTGTTTAGAATTTCTAACGATGTTTAGCATGTTTAGCAAATTAGCTTTTTGCCTTATTATCACATGACTTCATTAAAAGTGACATAACTACACTTCATCTCACAAATTTTGGCCGGGATTAAGAGACTTGGACGAAATTAACACTTTGTTTTGAAGAATCATAATGACAAATTTTTAGGTGATACTCTCTCTTTCTAGGCTAATAAGCCAATTAAAATATATTTTTACCATATCATATAAAAAGTGAAAATTTGTCTAATAAAGAAATTCATAAATTCATGATTGCACATCCCATTGTTGGTATTTCTGAAGAGGAATTAGGAATTGATGTAATACTCATTTATATAATTATAAGCTGAAGAAAATTTACTAAAACATAATTTTTGGTGACTTTGATGTGATGTAAGCTCAATATTATAAGTTTAGTCGATACTTTAGGTGAGGATGACATGGACAGCTTGCTATTAAAATAAAGTCGGTCGGTTAATAGTAAGCGTCGGAATAAAAAAATGATGACAAACATTATCAAATATAAATAATTTTATTTCATTTATAATAAAAAGGGCGAAATCGTTTCGTTAATCGCAAACAAGTTTCGCAAAATTGAAAGAAGTTTTTCACAAGATTATTCACGTAACTCTCCCTTTCTATTTGTCATAAAATATAAGCTAATATTTATCAAAGACAATATCTAATACCTTGACCGAACAAATTGTGTTGCTTGCGCCAGTTTGGAACAAAAAATGATTGAATCGTACTCTGTAAAATTTTATACCGGAATGACGCAGTATATTATATTCGATGTCACGTGTAACAAAAAATTACAAATAGGAATTTATTTTTTATTAGATTTTGACTTGAAAATTATAACTATAACGATAATGACCGGAAAATAGTTTACAGAAATTATCTCTAATTCACTTGAATGTTTAGAGGACAATGAATACTATGATGTTAAAGTGGAAGGGAAGGGTATTGTTACACTATCATTCCTTATTTAAGAAGAGCTTTTTAATAAAAGGAGAAATCTGGCAGATTTTTTAACTATCAACACTATCAACATTTTTCCTGAAGCTTTTCTCGAGGTAATTTAATTAATGGCAGCGTATTTTATAAAAACAATATTTCTTGAATTTTTATAAAATATATTATTTTTTATATTAAGACACATTTAATGCGCAAATCTTTCTTTGGAAAAATATAATACTTCAGATATTATTAATTGTTTGGTTACCGCCAATGAATTGAGTTAATTATCCACCTACATCAATTTTTATAAAAATGAAGCAAATTGAATAGAATAAAAAATTTTTGTTGATATATACAAAAAGTTGAACATGATTTATCTTCAAAGCTTTGTTCCAAATTAATGTCCAAAGAACAAAAAAATATGTTCCAAAAATTTGCCAAAATCGAATACCGTACGATTATTAAAGTAAAAGATAGCGATGAAATTCTTGGGGGATGCAATACATTTGCATGGAGTGTTGAGATTGTGTCAAGATATAGTAGTACTAAAAAAAAAATTTCTTATTTAAGCATCATTTTATTCTAAAAGTGAAATAGAATATGTTTGTTATAAAAAATTATAAAGATCATTTGGTCTGCCAGATTTTAATATATATGGAAATCGGGTAACTATATACAATAAAAGCAATCAAAGAAACTGAAGACTTTTCTATAGAAGAACCTAAAATATTTCAAATTAATTAATATGTAAATATGAATCTTTTTTGGCGCACGTTCTAAAATTATCGGCCTAGATTCATAATGCCTTATGAGTTTGACTAGCATTACCATGACGAGAATTATGAGATAAATCGACGAACTCACTTATATTTTCATTTCTTTCATTACTAATTTGTGAATTGTATTAGATGATTAAATAAAAATATATAATCAACTTAAAATAAATTATGCTTTATCAAAGAGAGAATATATTCTTATCAGTTCATTTTATATTATATAGCAAAACTAAAATTTGGAATATTTCTTCAATACTATAATTACTCATCATTTTGACTTAAATGAAACAAAATAATCATATTAAAAGATTTAATTAATAAATACATAAATTCAGAATATTTATATTTTGGTTATTTAAGAGGTTTGCTCATTCTGAGAATATTTTAATTTTTATTGCATTTTAAATTTTGATAGTATTAGATTAAAATGCAATAAGAATTAAATTTTAGTCAAAAAATACTCAGAATTCTATTTTCCTAACAAACTTTCCATTTCTACTTTAAAAGAAAAGATTTAATATTATAATAATATAGTCATCACCCTTTAATCATATGGGAGCTGATCTATTAAAAGTGGATTATGAGACATAGTAAATCCTATGATCTGTACCTCAATTTTAATAGAATACTACCCATATGATATAAAGAATGATAATAAGAAGATTTACTTATAAAAAAGATTTTATTATTTACAAATTTATAAATTTTAATAAAATATATTATTATATAAAAGAATTTAATTAAAAATCCTATTTTTAATATTATTTAAACTGATTATATAAATAAGATAAATAAGTTAAGATATTTTTATTTATTTGTAAAATAAATAATTATTTATAATAAATTTAAATAAAAAGTAAATATTTTTGTATTTATAAATATTATTTAAAAAACCCAATACATCAAATACTTTTATTTTTCTTTTAAAATAATATTTGTTTGTAATATATATATTATTATTTTAAGCTTTTATAAAATTCTATTTTTATTGAATTTATTATTATTATATGCTAAAAATAATAGACTAATTAACTCAATGTTTGGATATTAAATAATTATAAATATTACTAATTATTATAATTACTAATTAATAAATTATATTTTATCTTTTATTAATATGATATTATAATTTTAATTAATTTTTAATTAAAATAAACAAAAATTTTAAAATATTTTTTAGAATTAAATTAAAATATTAATATTTATAAAATTAGTAAACTAAAAATAAATTTTATAATTTTATTGTTTATATAAAAGCTAAATACTAATATGTAAAATTAATAAGTAAATATATTATATTAAAAGAAACAAGAATCACTTAAAATTTATAAAATCAACTGCTATATAATTAATAAACTTTCAAAAATTATATATTATTTTTAAATTAATAATTTATAAAGTAATTATATAAAAAAAAATTTATATAATAAAGTTTTAATTTATTTATTTTATTATAAAAATAAAATTTATATAAATTTATTATATTTAGCTTATTAGTTAGATTTTATTAAAAATATTTCTTTTTAATAAATATATAAAAATATTTTTATATTAATTATAATTTATTCAAAATATTATAAAATAATTTTTTAATTTTTTAATTAATTAAATATTAATATTAATTTTTAATAAAATATAATAATTATATTTATAATATATATTTATTAAATAAAATAATATTAATAAAGTTTTGAAGCTAGAAAATATAATTTAAAAGTTTTTGTATTATATAAAATTATTATAAATTATAAGGTATAATATTTAGATTTAAAATTTTAAAAATAATAATACAATTTACAATTGATCTTAATATTTTAGATTTTAATTAATATTAAATCTTTTATTATAATTTAATAAGTTAAATTTAATTGGCTAAAAATTTACTTTATTTATAATTATATTGAAATATATAAATACAATTATAATTATAATTAAATTCTTTTATAATACAAAAAAAAAGAAATTATTTATTTAATAAAAAATATATTTAATAAGATTCTTTTAAACGATAATATAAATAATAAAATATTTTTTACCTTAACTTTGTCATTATAGATATATAAATTCTATATATACATTTTATATTATAATATTATAATTTCTATAAATTCTATAATAAAAATTATTATTGATATTTCTTAAAAAACATTTTTATGAAATCACAAAATAAATGGTTTTACAAAAATACAATATGCTTTACACTTTAAGCTTTTTATAAAAAAATCTACAGTGTAAGATTTTTTTTTTATTATTAAAAATTAATTAAATAATAAATATTGTATCTTATTGGTCATTGCATATCAAATTTTAACCAATCATATGCAAGCATTAAGATAACTTTTTAACAATTTGTCTGTTCTTTTCCGATCGGTTGGGTTTCTGTTAGTCATGTATAATCAGTATAATCATGTTGATCAATAAGTTACTTTAGCTGGATTGTAATAAAGGATAAACTTCGACCTACGTGTGACAACGAATGATAAAATCAGTGACGATAGAAAAACCCAAAATTATTTTTAAAGTTCGGAATAGTTCGCGTCGTACGAAAGGATCTAAAATAAAAATTAAAGAAAAAAAATAATATAAAATTTTGCTAGTTATTATCGTTAGTACGAAAAAAATATATTTATTATGTAAAAAAGAGAATCTATATGATTTGGAGCTATAAATTCTTTTTAAATAATTTTTCCAAGCAATTGACTACTATTGAGCGAAGACAAAATCATAACTGGCTAATATTCAGATCAATATATCGACCCGAATTGACCAAATAGTTAATTTAGATCGGTATTAATATAAATAAAGGCTCACCAACACATGATAAAGAGAAAGCTCCCTTAATAGAAAACACAGAAACAAAAGTTAAACCATCTTGGTCTAAAGTAATTCGCGGATTGAAAGGGTCTAAGCTTTTGAACTAATAAACAAGCACTTGTTTATTAATACAAAATCTTGTATTACCTCCGGCAGTCCTGTTATATATTTTTCCCATTTCTTTAATCCCAATGAAAACGTCTAAAGCAAATGGGTTTATGCAAATGTGCTGGTAAATAGAAGCCAAATATTTATTTTGGCGTGAGCTAATCATTTGGCTGCAAGCATGCTGCAAAGTCGAGGCAAAAAATCAAATAAAGAAATTTGTATGGCTACTTTATTTGGACATAGATAGATTTACATTATACTTCCAATTAGAACAATTGCCAAGAATTGATAAAGTTTCACCAACCCCATCCAATCTTTTGAAATTCAAACTTGCACTTGCACTTGATTGAACAAAAATTTAACAATCGTGCAAAACGTTAGATACATACAATACTGCAATAAACCAAACCGTACACATGGAATAAAAAAAACAAATGCGTATTAGGCGGTATTTTTATTTTTTGTCGCGCGAAACACACATTGTCTGAAGGGAGAACGAAGGTTCAATTTCATTTTTTTAGGGGTATCGTATCATACAATAAAATCGTTTTTAGTTCAATTGGGCTAATTTTAGTTAGTATATTTATAGTCTGATTATCTAAAAAAAAAGATTAAATTACGTCACATGGTCACAAGTATTCTCTCGATTTGATTTATACTAGAAAAAACGTGAAATTCTCTCAACATTTACTACTTCAAGACTTGTTATTCATATTATTAAACAATATTTAAAAATTATTTCTTTTTTAATAAAAATAAAATAATAAAAAATAATAAAAAATACGTTACATTGAAATTATTGAACTTGTCGAATAAAAAAAAAGTAATGTTTCGGGAAAAGTGAAACTTAAGACACTTTTTTGTTTATTAATCCTCCTCGTGAAAAAAAATTTTGTGAATTATAAAAAAAAAAAATTTGCACAATTGCCCCCCCTGCATTATTATTATTGAATGAATTTTGCATTACATGTTAAATAAAAAGGGCATTCTATATTTTTTGTTGATCCTATGAATTATACTAAATTAGAATGACCCCTTAATGATCACATGGGTTTCAAAATTATTTTATTTTCTAAATCTAACTATAATGACTGAAGTTAATAACAAATAAATTGGATTTGACTTAAAAATTTCTAATGCTGTGATTTGAAAATATTCTATTTAAAAAATCTATCTAATAATCTATTTCCAATGATGGTGGAAAAAAGTCTATGAGACGTTAGTTTCTATAAAATCACGATATAAACATAATTTATTTGTGTAAAATATAATTTATTTTCATTTTCTCGTGTTGATTCGAGAGAAATTCAATTGAAAATTTGGTGTTACACGGGATAAATGAAGAAGTCGATGAGTCGAGTTTATCTCTGAAATCAAATTTAGACATATGAACAATTAGGTCAAAGTAAAAGAGGTATTGCTTCAACCAGGAAAAACTTACGTCGATTGTTGGGTACGAATGTTTCGTGGACACCTATGAAAGTCTATAAAATAGTTTGAAAGTTAAATATAGCCTAAAAGTTAGATTAGCAGTATAATGTGCTTACTAATCGGTCCATTAATTGCGTAATAGCTGATTTTTTTTTTTTAAAAAAAAAAGGGATAGAATAAATATTTTGTTCGGTTCGAAAATTTTTAAATTAGAAAAAAAAAATTTAATTACCGTTTTCTACAATCGGGAGCGCACCTTCCAAGTTCGCTTGCGATTTTTATCCAATTACGTCCATATTTATTAATTAGTCCATTGAACCGAATTTGTTCCTACGCAGAATTAATTAGGTGTTATTTTTTTTGTAAAATAAATAAAGAAAAAAAAACTTTTATTAATAAGTATATTTAACGAACATTATTTGTCCATGTTCCTTTTCGTAACGAAATCATATTTCTTGACTTTAATATTTCTTAGTATTATAAAGAGGGTTGGGTTATGAATTTGAAAAATTCTAATTTATAAAAAAATGTTGTGAAGGTTAATACTGAAATTAAGGCGTTTAGCGAACGTACTTAAATAATTTCGAAATATAACACAAGAAACGCATTGACTAATATGATTTTCTGCAACTGCAAAATTTTATTGACAGTTCAATTTAAATCTCATTTTGGGTAAATTATCAATGATTCAAAATGCAAGCTCCTTAAAAAAATGACATTGGACGAATGCAAACGAAATTCTGATAGGTTTTGATATTCAAATTACAATCAGACAATACTGATGTCAAAAATGCAAAGAGTCAATGCATCTTGGGATTTGTCCAATCCTCTGAATATATTGGTAAAGGCACTTTTAATCTCTCTACCTTATGTGGCGTTAATTGTATATATATTATAAAATAAATTATTAAAATAAAGGTTAGTTTATAATTGCGCATTTTTACTTGTTCAAACTTATTGGCATTGTAAAATTTCCTCATGTGGAACAGGAAAAAAAAAATTTTTTTTTTATTTTATTTTATTTTTTTTTGCGTGATTATCTATAAAATTAACTTTATAGGGCAAAGCACTAATTAAATTATGACATAATTCTATTAAAAGCTTAACTAAGCACGGATTTACAGCGCAGAACATATTCAATTTTGCGTATCTCAAATCAAAAATGATTTTATGATAAACCTTAACGTTATCTAACTTGTCAATTAATTAATATTTTACGATATTTCCCGGGGGATTGCGAAGTTCCTTCAGAGGATAGCGATTAGCATAGTATACTAGTTTAGCAAAATATCGAAATGACGCAGCAAATCAATCGGATGGTAAATGAAGGGAGCTTTTTGAACGAAAATCTTTTTTTGATTATAAAAGCTTTTGCACATGCTGAACCTTACATGATTAACATTATCCCCATCGTAAAGATGTCCACAAAATTACTTACTATACTATTTCAGCACACACTTTGACTATCTAATAATTAAATGAGGTTAAATTACGAGGGTAAGAAGTGTTTTTCCCCATTGAACTAAGTTGCAAATCTTATCTTACTTGATGTCAATGACATTATCATCATAGATCGGCTTTTAAAATCACCCATATGATCCGTAAGTTGATTTTAATAGCCGATCACCCATATGATCGACTATATATCACTAATTTTTGGCCGGCATTATAGAACTTGGCCGAAATTAACCATGTGAAATGAAGAACAACATCACCGGCCATGAAAATGCTTGAAATTGGGTTCGTAATCTACATTGAGGTTTGTTATTTTTGTTTCATTGATTCAAAAACTCGTGAGGAATAATCGCAGACGGAGTGACACCCGGAATTTTATTAAAATTTTTTTCATGCACTTGTTTTAACGACTTCTTCCCTTAAAAACGTCAGCTTCGAAACCTGCTTCCAGCAAGCACTGCCGTACTTGGAGCATTACTTTCTCGCGAGCATAAAAAGGGATTCGTCACAATAAATATTTGCCTTTTTTAGAATTACTCTTCATCATTCTCCGGTCGCTAAGAATTTTTTATTAATTCGATTATTAGTAAGCCAAGAATTCCAGTAGACTTAATTAAATTGAACAATTGTAAATGATTTTCTTTAAATATTAAGGAAAATCATATTTTTTTTTTATAATTTCAATGTTATATATATATAGATTTCTCTTTTTTAAAAAAAAATTATACGGAGAAATAATGTTTATCATATTGTTTGAAATTTAAAGAATTTAATCTTTAAAAGATTCACTCCATCAAATGATACATTTTGAAAAAATTTCGAACCTAGATAATTCGGTTACTATTTAAACTTCATATTGACTTTATGATTATCTTTCATGAAACAACAAGATTAATCATAATTTATTATAAAAAAAACAAGAGCTCATGCTATGTGACATCAAATGAAAAATTTTTTTTATTCAAAAAATACTAACGCATAATAATAGTAATATTATTACTAACCATTAACAATATTAATTAATAATATTTTTTAGATCGCAAAATAACAGCATTTGGGAATGATTCTGCACCCGAAGAGTGTCTGGGAAATGATAGATGTTTTTGATTTAAAAAAGTGTAAATCAAAAGATATAAGTTTTAACATATGCGAAATAAAAGATTGTTGATTTCATAATTTTTTTTGTCAATTTTTCGATCACATTATCATACAACAAATGAATCTACGATTACTTTTATTTTTTTCTTATTACTAATTTGCTATCATTATCACTTTATTTTTCTTACTAAATTCGCTATCATTATTAATCATCAAACAACAAATAATTTTCTGCCATCGTCTACAATAATTCATCTATAAGAGAAATAGTAAATTTTTAACAATAAAGTAGAATCTAAAAAAAATTAAATCTATTGTTAATTTTAGCACCATTATTACGCCACTTTAAAAAAAAAAACGAAGCTTAACACATTCTACGACAAAATAGGTTAGAGATAAATCATAACTAACCTTATTGAAACAATTCAGTTGTATTTTCTTTTTACGATCCTAAAAAATTTTTTTTTTCAAATAAAAAATTTCAACGAGGATCGTCGCAAGAGCATAGCACAGCTAAAGCAAGCTAAGCTAAGCAAGAATATGCTCTTTTATATACAACAGAATATTTTCTGTACAAAAAAAATTAAATCGTACTAATCATCATATTAACAAAAATCGGCAAAAAATTACGAAATTTAGAAAGAAACGGTTGCTCGGCAAATATTCAAATCTTATATGTACCGTAGACTTATTGAACAAAGAAAAGACAATTGTCATTCGAGAGAATTGATTGCGCCTAATTTAATAACTACGCCATTTGACAAAATAATTCTGCCATTTCTGGCAGTTCCGTTATTTCTGACATTTCAGACCTTCCTGAACTTCCGGCAGGTCTTGACAAAATGTCATTTCGGTCATTTCTGACATCGTATTAAATAAATTTGCCCAACCGTCCATCAGCCGTGATTAATTGATTCTTTAAAGGGGCCAAGCCGGGGAGGAGGAAAACCGGTTCGGCACGGTTCAGCTGATCAGTACGGTACTTTGCAGATCGGTACGATCCTCCATATTATGATCGTACCGTACTGGTTCTATAATAGTAAGCATTTATATATAGGCCCAGTACGGTACGGTACGATACGTACCGTACCGGTTTTCCTCCTCCCTGTTTTGCTCCTCCCTGGTTTCTATATATTAATAGCGATTTTGCATTATTATTGGGATCGTTAAAAGCGTACTCAATAAAAAAAAAAATTTTTTTTCTAAAAAAAAAAAATAATAAAAAAATACCTTAATAAAAACAAAATAAAGTGATCGTAGGAGGAAAATCAGTACGATTCGTCTGATAAGTATAGTAGTTTTATAAAATATACGATCGTACCGTACTAGAATCAGTACGGTACGATCATAATTTGAATAATCGTACCGCATAATCGTACCGTACTATTACTGTGTGCTGGCTGAGACAATATATTTTTGTGAAACAATATAATTTTTTTTGATTCCACTAGCACTATAAAGTAAATTTTTATTTGCGTTATCGTTACACAGTTTTAAAACAGAAGCACAAGATCTGCTGATTCAATTTAATTCTATAAAAGAATTCCATTTTTTTTTTTTTTTTTTTTAATTAAAACTTCTCTTATGAATTTTCATGCAAATAACGAAAATTCTTTCGATCCGACTGATCCGACTCCAAATTTAAAATCTAGCAATATACCAATCACGTTCATTCCTTATAATGAGCGTGAGAAGTCATGTAATTATTGCGGAAGTGGATATTTTACGCCTAGTCATGAAAATTACAAGTATTGTAAAGATTGTTATTTGAATTTATTAAGAAAACAAGTGATATTAATGCATGTTTAGATGTAGTTATAAAAAATAGCATATGTTATGAACATGTACCAAGTAGAATTTCGGAAAGCAAAATTCAAGAATGGTGTAAACATTGCTCCTATATTTCATATTTTGGACAATTATACATAAATTACAGAAGTAGTAATTGTAATTTGTGCAATCAATCTAGTCGTCGTAATTGTTCAAATTGTTATCTTGTTTTGTCTGGATGGTCGTTATCACCTTTGATTAAAGAACGTATTCCAATACTTTATTTACCATGGTGGGATTCAACATATCGATGTAGAGTTTGTAAATCAAACCTAACTTTTATATTCAGATTGTCAAAAATGGTGCTCAAATTACGTTATAATTTATACTGGATGTAGACATTGTTTAACATCGAATATTATTTTTGGAATTACAGACAGTTCTCAATGTAAAACATGTAAACAAATATTGTTTATCGATATCACAAAAATTAACGAAGGAAATATAACATGAATGAGCTTATTAGTATTAGCAATAATCCTAATAATCTTCTCATTGCTAATTATATGAATACCATTGGCAAACGATTAGATGTATATCACTTTATTAAAAAACTTAAGATTTGTTTTGATCAAACACCAAAATTATGGTCTAATTCTGAACCGATCTTGTTTATATCTTTTAATGATACCGAGGACTACTGCAGTTTTTGTGGTACTAGATATCACTTAACATCGAAATCTGAACAAAGATATTGCATTAATTGTTTGTCTTCATACATTAAACATAATAACAATACTTACTATACATCCTTAGATGTAGGTATTAGCATTCCAGATTTCCAATGTTTCACATTGGCCATTTCGGACAAATCATATTATAATGATCTGTATTTGATATTTTCACAGTTTTTAAAATATCATTATGAAAAATCATGGGCAAACATAGGATAAAATTATATATTATATTATTAAATATTAATAATTTATAGGGACGTTAAACGGTCCCAAATGACTTTAAACAAATATTGAAATTGCGAGTTATAGAAAAGTCTAATCGCTTATCTATAATAAGTAACCCTTGATAAATAATTGTAATAATAAATTTCTGAATAACTTATAAAAGAA